ATTTACAAATACCAGTATTTGTGTTACATTTACCGAGTGAGCTGCAATCGTTTGGGCATTTAATATATAGTTCTGAACAATCATCTTGAATATAGTTGGTGTTGCATTGACAAGTACCAGTATTAGTGTTGCATTGGCCATGTGAGCTACAATCGTTTGGACATGGGATGTATAGTTCTGAACAATCATCATGAATATAATTGTCATCACATTTACAAATACCAGTATTGGTGTTGCATTGACCATGTGAGCTGCAATTGTTTGGACATTCAATGTATAATTCTGAACAATCATCATGGATATAATTGTCATCACATTTACAAATACCAGTATTAGTGTTACATTTACCGTGTGAGCTACAATCGTTTGGACATGGGATGTATAATTCTGAACAATCATCATGAATATAATTGTCATCACATTTACAAATACCAGTATTAGTGTTGCACTGACCGTGTGAGCTACAATCATTTGGACATGGGATATATAATTCTGAACAATCATCATGAATATAATTGGTATCACATTTACAAAGACCAGTATTAGTGTTGCATTGGCCATGTGAGCTACAATCGTTTGGACATGGGATGTATAATTCTGAACAATCATCTTGAATATAGTTGGTGTTACATTGGCAAATACCGGTATTAGTGTTGCATTGACCGTGTGAGCTGCAATTGTTTGGACATGGGATATATAATTCTGAACAGTCATCTTGAATATAGTTGGTGTTACATTTACAAATACCAGTATTAGTGTTGCATTGACCGTGTGAGCTACAATCGTTTGGACATGGGATGTATAATTCTGAACAATCATTATGAATATAATTGGCATCACATTTACAAATACCAGTATTAGTATCACATTTACCGTGTGAACTACAATCGTTTGGACATGGGATATATAACTCGGAGCAATCATCTTGAATATAGTTGGTATTACAAATACACTTTCCAGTATTGGTATCACAATTACCATGCGAACTACAATCGTTTGGACATGCGATGTAGAGCCAAGAACAATCATTTAGATAATAGTTGGTATCACATTTACATTTACCAGTGGTAGTATTACATTCACCGTGTGAACTGCAGTTTTTTGGACATGGGATGTTTACCTCAGAACAATCGTCTTTATAATAGTTGGTATCACATTTACAAATACCAGTATTAGTATCACATTTACCGTGTGAACTGCAATCGTTTGGACATGGGATGTATAGTTTTGAACAATCGAAATTTATATAGTTTGGATTACATTCACATTTGCCTATTAAAAACATAATTGAAAAGAATAAAAATATTTAATATGAGTTAAAAAATAATATGTTAAATGAATGAAAGTATAATTATTTTACCTTTTGATTCGTTACAAATACCATGGCCACTACAATCGTTTGGACAACCTACACAAGTACCAGTGCTTAAATCGCAAATATCTCCTGATGGTGAGCCTACACAATCATTTGGACATTGTTTATTATTGAGTCTATTGTTTTCGAAAACTGCAAATACTTTTTTAGTTTGATTATCATTCTTTATTACAACTAGTTGTTTTTCTGGTGATAATGTAACTGATGTGATGCAAGTAAAGTCGGTGAATCCAGTTTTAGTAACTGGACAATTTGTGCCTGCAATAGTTATAGTTTGTTCTGATTGACCTAAATAACTTGAGAAGAATGTGCCAACTGCAGAGACTTTATTATTTTCAGTTGTAATAATTGATGTAAAAGTTGGTGGTTTACTGACTAAGGCAAAATTATAGTTTATATTATTACCAATATTAATTAGTTGGATAGAATTCATATTCAGGAGACTGGAATCTTGATTACAATAATATTCATAACCATATCTAATAATTGATTGTGGAACAGGTTTACATCGGTTAGATACTATCATTGAACCAAGGAAATAATAGTTAGGATGATGACCAATATCAATACCGCTAATTATAATAGTTGTTTGATTATGGTATTTAACTTGTGGTCTATAAGTTGTACATGGAATAGTTTTATCTAAATTGGTAAAACTATTACCTGCAAATCTATCAAACATTGTTGGCATTGAAAGAAAACTGTTTGGACCCGAAATTTCAGTAGTCATTTGAAGTGTGCTACTTAAATAGCAAGAAAAGCATGATGGAATAGTTCTAAATGTTAAAAGAAAAAAAGAGAATTATTAAAATGATGAACTTTACAAATACAAAGTATAGTTATTATTATTAAATACAAACCCTGTCAATTGATTATTTGTTACAAATAAAGCAGTTCCACACCATGATTCAGGTATAGTACCTGTTAATTTGTTATAGTCATAAAAATATGCTGAACCTTGACCATTATATTCTGGTAAATTACCTGATAGGTAACTATATGTATAACCAACAGCTTTTAAAAAGCCAACATCGGTAATTGGAGGGATTTGTGGTGGGGTTTGTGGACTATATATATCCAACGAAAAATCAAAATTTGTATTTGGACTAACTTTAACTGGAATTTTATTTTGATAAAGGAAATTCTTACCAACCAAACCTAATCTAATTGATTCATAATTGACAAGACTTGACAAATCGTAGAATTGAGTGGGTGTTAGAAAATAGCCGATATAATGATTCATAACTTTAATATAGGTATTCAAGTGAAGATAAAAAGGAACTTGAATACTTGAGTCAAATGTAAAATGAACATTTAAGGCATTTAAATATTGGAAATTTGTAAGGACTTCTGATGGATTGAATTGAGCACTAAAAGTAAATGCAACTTTATCGAATTGGTAACCGGAAAAATTTGGGAAATTTTTCATGCCTAATGTCAATGATTTTAATTTTGTTTTGTCTGCTCCACTGTCTACTTCAATGTTGGTTGTAATTTGTTTATTATATAAAAAAAATGATTTGATATCATTTAAATGGGACATTTTAATATTTGAAATACCATTAGTTGTAATTTGGCTATGTTGTTATTATTTTAAATTAAATAATCAATTACTTGTTTTTAAAAAAAAAAAAAAAAATATTTATTATGTACTTACTAAAAATCGTAAGGTGGTAGTTTTTGTGAAAGATCACCGTAAGTATCAGTCTCTAAAACCATATTTGTTACTGTTGGGAGTTTGTAATAAATAAATTCGTTTGAAAGATCCAAAAGTCTTAATGAAATTTTGGTTAAAAATGGAAAGCAATCGATATCACTAACAACTACTTGTTGGCCCAATGTAATTACATCACTATTACCAACAATAGGCGAGAAATTATTAATAGAACCATTAGAATGGCAATGTTGAGCAGTGACACAAAATAATGAATCTGCATATACTCCATTTGAACCTTCTTTTTTAAAAAAAAAAAAAGTTAATATTTTAAATTAATTATGATTATGAATATAATAATAAATACTTGGATAGTTTTGTACTAAATTAAACTTCTGAATAAATTTTACAAAACAACTATATTCATTTTGTGGAATTGCTGAGAGAGAACCATCGAAATTTAACGAAAAAATAAAAAAAAATATTAAAAAAATATTATTTTTTAATTTTTTCATTTTTTTATTTTTATTTTTTTTACAATATAATATTTATTAAAAAGGAAATATTTATTTTAAAAAAAAGATAATAAAAAAAATGAATGAATTTATTTATTTATTGTACACTTATGAATTTACGGATTTATCCAAAAAAAAAAAAAAAAAAAAAAAAAAAAAAAATAATAAGAAAATGTTGGGAAATGTTCAAAAAAAAAAAAAAATAAAAAAAATAAAAAAAAAATACAATCACAAAAAAACATAATTAATTTAGATTAAATAGATTTTTAATAGTAGATTACGCCATTATCTCAAAAATATCATAAATATTTTGGATACCACTCTAAAAAAAAATACCAAAACGCTCAAAAAAAACAAAAAAAAAAAAAAATATCAAAAAAAAAACATTTTTTGAAAGCGAAAAAAAAAATATAAAAAATATCAAAAAACAAAAAAAAAAAACTTTTTTTATTGCGCAATAAAATGATTTATTTTAAATATTATTTTTGGTGGGTTTCATTTCAATTTTTTTACCATTTACTTTAATAACTGATTTTCTTTTATAGAAAAGGATACCAAGACAAGAGGCACCAACAACACCAACAACAACACCAACTGGTATTTGCCATTTGATATTTTGTTTTGGTGATTTGCATTCTGAGAAGTCTGATGATAGTAAAACTGAAAAATCTATTTAAAAAATTAAAAATATTATTATTAGACAATAGCTTTAATTAAAATTGTATTAAAGTAAATTAATATATTACCTGGATCGATTAAACATTCATTGACACAATGTGGTAAGTGTAATATGATAGTTACTGAGTCGTTGAGTTTGGTGTATGATGTTGTTAAGAATGTTGGTTTCGAGTCTGATACTACTTTGTTGACGAATCTACCTACAAAATCGACATTATTCTTTGAAAGTTTGATATAACTGAGATCATATTGATTTTTGAGATTTTCAGTGTCTAATTGAGTTTCTTTACTGTTGCAATCGTCATTGGTTAATTCGGTTGTGTTTGATTGCATTTCGAGTTGAAGTGTGTTTAAGAATGATTGGTATTTATAGTTTTTAATTGAAACTGTGAATTTAATTGAGTTATTGGTGAGTAAAAAGTCAATTCCTGCAAATGAAACTGATTTATCGTTTTCAATTTGTTCGATGGTTGATATAACTTTGAATTCATCTTTGTTTGGTGATTGTTTGAATGTATAAATGTTTGATTGTGTTTTGATTACTGTCCAATCTGATACTAATGGATAACTCTTGACAATTTTATTATTAATATCTATTTCATTTAATGATTTGAGATAGATTTTAAAGTTGATTTTCTCATTTTGAATATCTACAATACCTGTGCTGTTATCTACATTTGATGTTGGTGGCTCAGTTGTGGTTGTATTATCTTTACCTCCACTATCGATTATTGATCCACAATCAAATGATGTATATCCTAAATAACATTCACATTTACCATTTGATGTATTACATTTACCATGTGATGAACAGTTCTTTGGACATTCGAATATGTTTTGTGGTACTTTTGAATAAATGTAAATATCTTTACCAATATAAACAATATTGTTTTGAGTGATATTGACACTGTGAATACCTTTGCCTGGTGGTGCTGTGCAATTAATTAAATCGTTTGAAGAGTGTGTAACTGGACATGTTTTTGATCCGATTATAACTGATAATTGGTTGTGTTGTTCACCGAAACTACCATAGAAGCTTGCTTCACCACCATTTTCATTTGATGGGTTAACTGATGAAATATAGTGTTGACTGAACTGACATTTGTCACCACCGAATCCATTGTTACAATCACAAATACCTTTTGATGTATCACAACGACCTTGAGATGAACATGTTGGATCTACACATTCGAGATATAACTCTGAACAGTCTAAGCCTATATAATTGGTATTACAATCACATTTGCCTTTAAAAAAACAATTAATAAAATTATAATAATTATAATAATGGTTATAAAATAATTTTAAAATTAGTTTTACCTTTTAATTCGTTACAAAAACCATGGTTACTACAATCGTTTGGACAACCTACACAAGTACCAGTGCTTAAATCGCAAATATCTCCTGATGGTGAGCCTACACAATCATTTGGACATTGTTTATTATTGAGTCTATTGTTTTCGAAAACTGCAAATACTTTTTTAGTTTGATTATCATTCTTTATTACAACTAGTTGTTTTTCTGATGATAATGTAACTGATGTGATGCAAGTAAAGTCGGTGAATCCAGTTTTAGTAACTGGACAATTTGTACCTGCAATAGTTATAGTTTGTACTGATTGACCTAAATAACTTGAGAAGAATGTGCCAACTGCAGAGACTTTATTATTTTCAGTTGTAATAATTGATGTAAAAGTTGGTGGTTTACTGACTAAGGCAAAATTATAGTTTATATTATTACCAATATTAATTAGTTGGACAGAATTCATATTCAGGAGACTGGAATCTTGATTACAATAATATTCATAACCATATCTAATAATTGATTGTGGAACAGGTTTACATCGGTTAGATGGTATCATTGAACCAAGGAAATAATAGTTAGGTTGATGGCCAATATCAATACCGCTAATTATAATAGTTGTTTGATTATGGTATTTAACTTGTGGTCTATAAGTTGTACATGGAATAGTTTTATCTAAATTGGTAAAACTATTACCTGCAAATCTATCAAACATTGTTGGCATTGAAAGAAAACTGTTTGGACCCGAAATTTCAGTAGTCATTTGAAGTGAGCTACTTAAATAGCAAGAAAAGCATGATGGAATAGTTCTAAATGTTAAAAGAAAAAAAGAGAATTATTAAAATGATGAATTTTACAAATACAAAGTATAGTAATTGTTATTAATTACAAACCCTGTCAATTGATTATTTGCAACAAATAAAGCAGTTCCACACCATGATTCAGGTATAGTGCCTGTTAATTGGTTTTTACTATATATGTATGCTGAACCTTGACCATTATATTCTGGTAAATTACCTGATAGGTAACTATCTGTATAGCCAACAGCTTTTAAAAAGCCAACATCGGTAATTGGAGGGATTTGTGGTGGGGTTTGTGGACTAATTATATCCAACGAAAAATCAAAATTTGTATTTGGACTAACTTTAACTGGAATTTTATTTTGATAAAGGAAATTCTTTCCAACGAAACCTAATCTAATTGATTCATAATTGACAAGACTTGACAAATCGTAGAATTGAGTGGGTGTTAGAAAATAGCCGATATAATGATTCATAACTTTAATATAGGTATTCAAGTGAAGATAAAAAGGAACTTGATAATTGATATTTAAGGGAAATGTAAAATGAACATTTGAAGCATTTAAATATTGGAAATTTGTAAGGACTTCTGATGGATTGAATTGAGTGCCAAAAATAAATGTAGCTTTATCGAATTGGTAACCGGAAAAATTTGGGAAATTTTTCATGTTTAATGTCAATGATTTTAAATTTGTTTTGTCTGCTCCACTGTCTACTTCAACATTGGTTGTAGCTTTGTTATTATTTAATATAAATGTTTTGATATCATTTAAATGGGACATTTTAATATTTAAAATACCAGTAGTTGTAATTTGGCTATGTTGTTATTATTTTAAATTAAATAATCAATTACTTGTTTTTAAAAAAAAAAAAAATATTTATTATGTACTTACTAAAAATCGTAAGGTGGTAGTTTTTGTGAAAGATCACTGAAAGTATCAAGCTCTAAAATTATATTTGTTACTGTTGGGAATTTGTAATAAATAAATTCGTTTGAAAGATCCAAAAGTCTTAATGCAATTTTGGTTAAAAATGGAAAGCAATCGATATCACTAACAACTACTTGCTTGCCCAATGTAATTACATCATTATTACCAACAATAGGCGAAAGTTCACTAATGGAACCATTAGAATGGCAAATTTGAGTTTTACTACAAAATAATGATTCTGCATATACTCCATTTGAACCTACATTTTTTAAAAAAAAAAAAAAAAAAAAAAAAAAAGTTAATATTTTAAATTAATTATGATTATGAATATAATAATAAATACTTGGATAGTTTTGTACTAAATTAAACTTCTGAATAAAGTTTACATAACAATTATATTCGTTTAGTGGAATTGCTGAGAGAGAACCATTGAAATTTAACGAAAAAATAAAATAAAAAATAAAAAAAATATTATTTTTTAATTTTTTCATTTTTTTATTTTTTTTTTTTTTACAATATTTAATATTTATATAAAAAAAAAGATAATTAAAAAAAGGAATGAATTTATTTATTTATTATACTCTTATGAATTTACGAATATATGGCATATATAAAAAAAAATATACAGAAAAATATTGGAAAAAAAAAAAAAAATTTTAAATTCAATAGATTTTTTTCAAATTACGCCATTGTCACAAAAATATCATAAATATTTTGGATACCACTCTAAAAAAAACAAAATAAAAAAAAAAAATTATTATTAGAAACGAATTATGATATTTTTGTGTAATTTTTTGTGACGTTCGAAAATGCAAAAAATATAAAAAAAACTTTTTTTGGGAAATTAAATGGTTTATTTTAAACTTTATTTTTGGTGGATTTCATTTCAATTTTTTTACCATTTACTTTAATAACTGATTTTCTTTTATAGAAAAGGATACCAAGACAAGAGGCACCAACAACACCAACAACAACACCAACTGGTATTTGCCATTTGATATTTTGTTTTGGTGATTTACAATCTGAGAAGTCTGATGATAGTAAAACTGAAAAATCTATTTAAAAAAAAAAATTAATATTTAAATAATAGTTTAATAAAAATTATTTTAATTAATTTAATATATTACCTGGATCGATTAAACATTCATTGACACAATGTGGTAAGTGTAATATGATAGTTACTGAATCGTTGAGTTTGGTGTATGATGTTGTTAAGAATGTTGGTTTCGAGTCTGATACTACTTTGTTGACGAATCTACCTACAAAATCGACATTATTCTTTGAAAGTTTAATATAACTGAGATCATATTGATTTTTGAGATTTTCAGTGTCTAATCGAGTTTCTTTACTGTTGCAATCATCATTGGTTAATTCGGTTGTGTTTGATTGCATTTCGAGTTGAAGTGTGTTTAAGAATGATTGGTATTTATAGTTTTTAATTGAAACTGTGAATTTAATTGAGTTGTTGGTGAGTAAAAAGTCGATTCCTGCAAATGAAACTGATTTATCGTTTTCAATTTGTTCGATGGTTGATATAACTTTGAATTCGTCTTTGTTTGGTGATTGTTCGAATGTATAAATGTTTGATTGTGTTTTGTTTACTGTCCAATCTGATACTAATGGATAACTCTTGACAATATTATTATTAATATCTATTTCATTTAATGATTTGAGATAGATTTTAAAGTTGATTCTCTCATTTTGAATATCTACAATACCTGTGCTGTTATCTACATTTGATGTTGGTGGCTCAGTTGTGGTTGTATTATCTTTATTTCCACTATCGATTATTGATCCACAATCAAATGATGTATATCCTAAATAACAATCACATTTACCATTTGATGTATTACATTTACCATGTGATGAACAGTTCTTTGGACATTCGAATATGTTTTGTGGTACTTTTGAATAAATATAAATATCTTTACCAATATAAACAATATTGTTTTGAGTGATATTGACACTGTGAATACCTTTGCCTGGTGGTGCTGTGCAATTAATTAAATCGTTTGAAGAGTGTGTAACTGGACATGTTTTTGATCCGATTATAACTGATAATTGGTTGTGTTGTTCACCGAAACTACCATAGAAGCTTGCTTCACCACCATTTTCATTTGATGGGTTAACTGATGTAATATAGTGTTGACTGAACTCACATTTGTCACCACCGAATCCATTATCACAATTACAAATACCATTTGATGTATCACAATGACCTTGGGATGAACATGTTGGATCTGCACATTCGATGTATAATTCTGAACAATCATCTTGAATATAATTGGCATCACATTTACAAATACCAGTATTTGTGTTGCATTGACCATGTGAGCTGCAGTTGTTTGGACATTCGATGTATAATTCTGAACAATCATCTTGAATATAGTTGGAGTTACATTGACAAATACCAGTATTAGTGTTACATTGACCGTGTAAGCTGCAATCGCTTGGACATTCTATGTATAATTCTGAACAGTCTAATCCTCTATAATTTGTATTACAATCACATTTGCCTTTAAAAAAACAATTAATAAAATTATAATAATTATAATAATGGTTATAAAATTATTTTAAAATTAGTTTTACTTTTTGATTCGTTACAAAAACCATGGCCACTACAATCGTTTGGACAACCTACACAAGTACCAGTGCTTAAATCGCAAATATCTCCTGATGGTGAGCCTACACAATCATTTGGACATTGTTTATTATTGAGTCTATTGTTTTCGAAAACTGCAAATACTTTTTTAGTTTGATTATCATTCTTTATTACAACTAGTTGTTTTTCTGATGATAATGTAACTGATGTGATGCAAGTAAAGCCGGTGAATCCAGTGTTAGCAACTTGACAATTTGTGCCTGCAATAGTTATAGTTTGTTCTGATTGACCTAAATAACTTGAGAAGAATGTACCAATTGCATATACCTTATTATTTTCAGTTGTAATAATTGATGTAAAAGTTGGTGGTTTACTGATTAAGGCAAAAGTATAATGTAAATTATTTCCAATGTTATTTAATGTTAGTGACTGCATATTTTCCAAAGAATAGATTTGATTACAATAATATTCATAACCATATCTAATAACTGCCTGTGGGACAGATTTACACACACTGTAAATATCAACTAAGTTAAATAAAGAATAATGGTTGAGTTGGTGACCAATATCTTTTCCGCTAATTATAATAGTTGTTTGATTATGGTATCTAATTTGTGGTTTATAAGTTGTACATGGAATATTCTTATCATAATTTGTAAATTTATTAGTACTACCTGCAAATCTATCATACATTGTGGTTATAAAGAGGAAATTGGTTGGTTGAGATATTGATGATGGCATTGAAGCAGTACTATTAAAATAACAAGAAAAACATGATGGAATGGTACTAATAATATTTTAAATGATAAATCAAAAATAATTGTTAAAATTATGATACAATGGTTCATAAAATAAAAAAGTTAATACAAACCCTGATAATTGATTATTTGCAACAGATAAAACTGTGCCGCACCATGATTCAGGTATAGTACCTGTTAATTGGTTATTATCATAAATGTATTCTGAACCTTGTCCATTATATTCTGGTAAATTACCTGATAGGTAACTAGATGCATATTTAACAGTTTTTAAATAACCAACATCGGTAATAGGAGGTAATTGAGGTTTAATTGTTAATGAATTTGTTACAGTTAACGAAAATGCAAGATTTGTGGTTGGACTAACTTTAAATGGAATTTTATTTTGATAAAGGAAATCCTCACTAACAAAACCCATACTGATAGATTGATAATTGACAAGATTTGATATATCGTAGAATTGAGTTGGTGTTTGAAACTTACCATTATAGTGATTCATAAAGTTAATATAAGAGTTTAAGTGAAGATAAAAAGGAACTTGATAGTTTGAAGGAAATGTAAATTGAGCACTTGAAGCATTTAAATATTGGAAATTTGTAATTACTTCTGATAGATTCAATGTATTGCTAAAAGTAAATGTAACACTATCGAATTGATAACCTCTAAAGTCTGGGAAATTACTCATGGATAAAGTCAAATGCTTTAAATTTTTATTTTCTGCTCCACTGTCTACCTCAACAATAGTATTTGCTGACAAACTTTGATGCTTAAAATTCTTGACATTCTCTACATATGACATTTTTAAATTTTTTATTCCATCAGAGGATATAAAACTGTGGAAGTTATTTAATTTATAGATTTTTTATAAAAATTAATAAATATTATTAAATTATATTATAAATAAATGGTAATACTTACAAATATTCATAAGGTGGTAATTTTTGAGTTAAATCTTGTATTTCTGGGCAATTCAATGTTACTGTAGTAACTGCCGAGAATTCATAATAAAAAAATTCGTTGGATGGTTTTAAAATATTAATGTAGAGAGTAGTCATAAATGGGAAGCAACTAACATCAGTAGGTAACACATCAACTTTAATAATTGCATCTGTTAAATCTGCATATGATTGAAAACCATTAATAGACCCATTTGCATGACAACTTGATCTTGTACATAATGTATCATCACTTGTATCTATTTTTATAAAAGAAATAAATATTTTAAAAAAAATTTTATTAATTTTTTATTAATTGTAACTATTACCTTGATAATGAACTTTTAAATTAAACTTATTAATAAAGTTTAAATAACAAGTTTTTTCATTTGGTGGGATAACAATACCAAAAGAAAAATTTAAAAATATTAAAAAAAATAAAAAATAAAAAAAAAAATAATTAAATTTTATCATTTTTTTTAAAAAATAATATTATTATTTGGTATAATAAAAAAAATGAAAGTAAAATAAAATTTAAAAATAAAAAAAATATTGTTGAAAAAAAAATATGGAAAAAATAATTTAAAAGGGAAACGTTTTTTTTGGTTGTTTTTTGAAAACCAACAAAATTAAATTCTTTCCAGCAAAAAAAAAAAAATTTCGACCTTTCTGGATTAAAATTTCGACTATTCTGTATTAAAATTTTTTTTTATTTTAATTTTTTTATTTTTACACAAAGGATTAACTGGTCTATAAATCAAAAAAAAAAAGTTTATAAAAATATTAAGTGATTTTAATTGAATAATTATTTTATTAAAAATTAAATAATTGTTTAAACTTTTGAATTAATTTTTTTGCCATTTACTTTGATAAATGATTTTCCTTTATAGAAAAAGATACCAATACAAGCTGCTCCAACAACACCAACAACAACACCAACTGGTATTTGCCATTTGATATTTTCTTTTGGTGATTTACAATCTGAGAAATCTGATGATAGTAATACTGAAAAATCTGTTTGTTTAATAGAAAAATAAAAATTAATATTAAATTGTTGAAAAGATATTGTATTTTTTTTTTAATTATATTCCAAAATTTGTTTGGGTTTATGTTTTTTTTAATATGAAAAATTATAATTTTTATCAAAATACATACCTGGATCGATTAAACATTCATTGACACAATGTGGTAAGTGTAATATGATAGTTACTGAATCGTTGAGTTTGGTGTATGATGTTGTTAAGAATGTTGGTTTCGAGTCTGATACTACTTTGTTGACGAATCTACCTACAAAATCGACATTATTCTTTGAAAGTTTAATATAACTGAGATCATATTGATTATTGAGATTTTCAGTGTCTAATTGAGTTTCTTTACTGTTGCAATCGTCATTGGTTAATTCGGTTGTGTTTGATTGCATTTCAAGTTGAAGTGTGTTTAAGAATGATTGGTATTTATAGTTTTTAATTGAAACTGTGAATTTAATTGAGTTATTGGTGAGTAAAAAGTCAATTCCTGCAAATGAAACTGATTTATCGTTTTCAATTTGTTCGATTGTTGATATAACTTTGAATTCGTCTTTGTTTGGTGATTGTTCGAAAGTATAAATGTTTGATTGTGTTTTGTTTACTGTCCAATCTGATACTAATGGATAACTCTTGACAACTTTATTATTAATATCTATTTCGTTTAATGATTTGAGATAGATTTTAAAGTTGATTTTCTCGTTGTTAATATCTACAATACCTGTGCTGTTATCTACATTTGATGTTGGTGGTCCAGTTGGTTTGGTTGTATTATCTTTATCTCCTACTCCGAGCATTGATCCACAATCATATGATGTATATCCTAAATAACATTCACATTTACCATTTGATGTATTACATTTACCATGTGATGAACAGTTCTTTGGACATTCGAATATGTTTTGTGGTACTTTTGAATAAATGTAAATATCTTTACCAATATAAACAATATTGTTTTGAGTGATATTTACACTGTGAATACCTTTACCTGGTGGTGCTGTGCAATTAATTAAATCGTTTGAAGAGTGTGTAACTGGACATGTTTTTGATCCGATTATAACTGATAATTGGTTGTGTTGTTCACCGAAACTACCATAGAAGCTTGCTTCGCCACCATTTTCATTTGATGGGTTAACTGATGTAATATAATGTTGACTGAATTCGCATTTGTCACCACCGAATCCATTATCGCAATCACAAATACCTTTTGATGTATCACAATGACCTTGAGATGAACATATTGGATCTTCACATTCGATGTATAATTCTGAACAATCATTATGAATATAATTGGCATCACATTTACAAATACCAGTATTAGTGTTACATTGACCGTGTGAACTGCAATCGTTTGGACATGGGATGTTTAATTCTGAGCAATCATCTTGAATATAGTTGGAGTTACATTGGCAAATACCAGTATTAGTGTTGCATTGACCGTGTGAGCTACAGTCGTTTGGACATGGGATATATAGTTCTGAACAATCATCATGAACATAATTGTCATCACATTTACAAATACCAGTATTAGTGTTACATTGACCATGTGATCCACAATCAATTGGACATGGGATGTATAATTCGGAGCAATCATCGTGAATATAATTGGTATTACAATCACAAGTACCAGTGGTAGTATTACATTTTCCGTGTAAACCGCAATTTATTGAGCATTCTATATATAGTTCTGAACAATCATCTTGAATGTAGTTGGTGTTGCATTGACAAATACCAGTATTAGTATCACATTGACCTTGTGAACTGCAATCGTTTGGACATGTGATGTGTAAAACTGAGCAATCATCTTGAATATAGTTGTCATCACAATTGCAAATACCAGTATTAGTATCACATTGACCGTGTGAGCTGCAATCGTGAAGACATGGGATGTTTAGTTCTGAGCAGTCATCTTTGATATAGTTGTCATCACATTTACAAGTTCCGGTAGTGGTGTCACATTGACCGTGAGAACCACAATCTATTGGACATTCAATATAGAATTCTGAGCAATCATCTTGGATATAGTTATCTTCACAAATGCATTTGCCTATTATTAAATTTAAAAAATAAATATTAAAAAATAAAAATTAAAAAAAAAAATATTTTAAAATTATTTTACCTTTTGATTCGTTACAAGTACCATGGCCACTACAATCGTTTAGACAACCTACACAAGTACCAGTGCTTAAATCGCAAATATCTCCTGATGGTGAGCCTACACAATCATTTGGACATTGTTTATTATTGAGTCTATTGTTTTCGAAAACTGCAAATACTTTTTTAGTTTGATTATCATTCTTTATTACAACTAGTTGTTTTTCTGATGATAATGTAACTGATGTGATGCAAGTAAAGTTGGTGAATCCAGTGTTAGTAACTTGACAATCTGTGCCTGCAATAGTTATGGTTTGTTCTGATTGACCTAAATAACTTGAGAAGAATGTACCAATTGCATATACTTTATTATTTTCAGTTGTAATAATTGATGTAAAAGTTGGTGGTTTACTGATTAAGGCAAAAGTATAATGTAAATTATTTCCAATGTTATTTAATGTTAGTGACTGCATATTTTCCAAAGAATAGATTTGATTACAATAATATTCATAACCATATCTAATAACTGCCTGTGGGACAGATTTACACACACTGTAACTATTACCTAAGCTAAATAAAGAATAATGGTTGAGTTGGTGACCAATATCTTTTCCGCTAATTATAATGGTTGTTTGATTATGGTATCTAATTTGTGGTTTATAAGTTGTACATGGAATATTCTTATCATAATTTGTAAATTTATTAGTACTACCTGCAAATCTATCATACATTGTGGGTAAGTATATGGTTAAAATAGTATCTGATTGAGACATGTCAAAATTGGCGGTACTATTAAAGTAGCAAGAAAAGCATGATGGAATAGATCTAAAAAATATGAATTATTTAAAAATTAAATAAAAATTTTAATATTTTGAATATAACAATATGATTGTATTTGTTATAGTTATAATTAAATACAAACCCCGTTAATTGATTATTTGCAACAAATAAAGAAGTGCCGCACCATGACTCAGGTATAGTACCTGTTAATTTGTTAGTGTTATAAATGTATGCTGAACCTTGACCATTATATTCTGGTAAATTTCCTGATAAGTAGCCATTTATATAACCTGCAGTTCTTAAATAACCAACATCGGTAACTGGGGGTAATTCAGCGGAAATTTGTAATGTATTGGCTGCAGTAAATGAAATTACAAAACTTGTGTTTGCGCTAACTTTAAATGGAATTTTATTTTGATAAAGGAAACTATCACCAACAAAGTCCATTCTAATAGATTGATAATTGACAAGATTTGACATATCATAGAATTGAGTAGGTATTTGAAATTTACCAGTATAGTGATACATGGTTTTAATATAAGAGTTTAAGTGAAGATAAAAAGGAACTTGATAATTTGAGGGAAATGTAAATTGAGCACTTGTTGCCTTTAAATATTGGAAATTTGTAAGGATATCTGACGGATTGAGAGCACTACCAAAAGTAATTCTAAAACTATCGAATTGATAACCTGAAAAGTCTGGTAAATTACCTGAATTTATTGTAATTGCCTTTAAATTTGTTTTAACTGCTCCGCTGTCAACTTCAAAAGTTGGAAATCTCGAAGTGGTACTTAAAGCAAAGGTTTTTATACCATTTAAATAAGACATCTTTATATTGGTTATGGGTCCATTAGTGCTAATATAGCTATTATATTTTTAAATTAAATATTAGTATTTTTGTTTTTTTTTTTGTTTTTTTTAAAAAAAATAAAAAATACTAACATATAATCATAATCTGGTAATTTTTGTGTAAATTGATTTATGTTATTATAAACAATAGTCATTCTAGAAACTGTTGGATATTTATAGTAAATAAACTCCTCAGATGGCTCAATAGATTCGATGGAAATTTCAGTTAAATATGGAAAACATCTAAGATCATCAATTAATACTTTTTCGCCTGCTATAGGAGTTTCACTATTACCTGCCCTACCTAAAAATACTTTAATTGATCCATTATTGTGGCAATTGGAAGAATATGAACAAAATGAGCTGTCTGGATAAACCCCATTTGTGCCTATTAAAATAAATTATAAAAAATAATTAATAAACATTAAAATAATAGTATAAATATTATATTTCTAAAAATAATAGTTACTTGGATAATAAGCTTTTAATCCAAATTTTTCGACAAAGTTCTTATAACAATCATATTCAGCTTGGGGTATTGCTGACAATGAAAAATTAAAAAAAAATAATAAAAAAATAATACAATAAAATTTTTTAACCATTTTTTTTTTTTATTTGATTTTTTTTTTTTACACAAATAAAAAAAAAAACAATTATATGAAAAAAATAATAGAATAAAATGATTAAGTGTGAAGGAAAATTTAAGAAAAAAAAATTAGAATAAAAAAAAAAAAAAATAATGTGATATCAACAACGGTTTCAAAATATTTTTTTTTAATTTTTTTAAATTTTTTTTTTAATAAAAACGGGTTTGGATAAATTTCCAATGACCAGATTCCAGATTTCAAGACAAGATATTATGATGGATTTTTTTTAATTTTTAAATTTAATTATTTTTTTTTAATTTTTATTTTTTTTGGTTAATAATGTGGGAAGTGTTTTTTTCAATGCCGACCCAGCCCAAAGCTATTTCGCATATAATTTTTTTTTTTTTGAATATCAACGTGGGAAGTGATTTTTTCATAATCAACCCAGCTCATAATTTTTTCACAAATATCTTTTTTTTTTTGGCAAAAAAAGATATTTGTGAAAAAATTGTATTGAATTAATTTAATATTTTAAAATTGCCCAAGAATAAGAAATAATTTTTTTTTTTTTAAAATTTTTTTTTTTTTTTAAAAAGAAAAAGGAATAAATTTAAAAATTGAATGATTATTTATTAAAACTATTTAAAGTTTTTTATTAGCGGGGTTCATTTTTAGTTTTTGACCATTTACCACAATTGATTTTCTTTTATAGAAAAGGATACCAAGACAAGAGGCACCAACAACACCAACAACAACACCAACTGGTATTTGCCATTTGATATTTTGTTTTGGTGATTTGCAATCTGAGAAGTCTGATGATAGTAAAACTGAAAAATCTATTTAAAAAAAAAAATTAATATTTAAATAATAGTTTAATAAAAATTATTTTAATTAATTTAATATATTACCTGGATCGATTAAACATTCATTGACACAATGTGGTAAGTGTAATGTGATAGTTACTGAGTCGTTGAGTTTGGTGTATGATGTTGTTAAGAATGTTGGTTTCGAGTCTGATACTACTTTGTTGACGAATCTACCTACAAAATCGACATTATTCTTTGAAAGTTTAATATAACTGAGATCATATTGATGTTTGAGATTTTCAGTGTCTAATTGAGTTTCTTTACTGTTGCAATCATCATTGGTTAATTCGGTTGTGTTTGATTGCATTTCAAGTTGAAGTGTGTTTAAGAATGATTGGTATTTATAGTTTTTAATTGAAACTGTGAATTTAATTGAGTTGTTGGTGAGTAAAAAGTCGATTCCTGCAAATGAAACTGATTTATCGTTTTCAATTTGTTCGATTGTTGATATAACTTTGAATTCATCTTTGTTTGGTGATTGTTCGAATGTATAAATGTTTGATTGTGTTTTGTTTACTGTCCAATCTGATACTAATGGATAACTCTTGACAATTTTATTATTAATATCTATTTCATTTAATGATTTGAGATAGATTTTAAAGTTGATTTTCTCATTTTGAATATCTACAATACCTGTGCTGTTATCTACATTTGATGTTGGTGGTCCAGTTGGTTTGGTTGTATTATCTTTATCTCCTCCTCCGAGCATTGATCCACAATCAAATGATGTATATCCTAAATAACATTCACATTTACCATTTGATGTATTACATTTACCATGTGATGAACAGTTCTTTGGACATTCGAATATGTTTTGTGGTACTTTTGAATAAATGTAAATATCTTTACCAATATAAACAATATTGTTTTGAGTGATATTTACACTGTGAATACCTTTACCTGGTGGTGCTGTGCAATTAATTAAATCGTTTGAAGAGTGTGTAACTGGACATGTTTTTGATCCGATTATAACTGATAATTGGTTGTGTTGTTCACCGAAACTACCATAGAAGCTTGCTTCACCACCATTTTCATTTGATGGGTTAACTGATGTAATATAGTGTTGACTGAACTCACATTTGTCACCACCGAATCCATTATCACAATTACAAATGCCATTTGATGTATCACAATGACCTTGAGATGAACATGTTGGATCTGTACATTCGATAAATAATTCTGAACAATCATCTTGAATATAATTGTCATCACATTTACAAATACCAGTATTAGTGTTACATTGACCGTGTGAGCTGCAATTGTTTGGACATGGGATGTATAATTCTGAGCAGTCATCTTGAATATAGTTGGTGTTACATTGACAAATCCCAGTATTTGTGTTGCATTGACCGTGTGAACTGCAATCATTTGGACATTCTATGTATAATTCTGAACAGTCTAAACCTATATAATTGGTATTACAATCACATTTGCCTTTAAAAAAACAATTAATAAAATTATAATAATTATAATAATGGTTATAAAATTATTTTTAAGTTATTTTTACCTTTTGATTCGTTACAAAAACCATGGCCACTACAATCGTTTGGACAACCTACACAAGTACCAGTGCTTAAATCGCAAATATCTCCTGATGGTGAGCCTTCACAATCATTTGGACATTGTTTATTATTGAGTCTATTATTTTCGAAAACTGCAAATACTTTTTTAGTTTGATTATCATTTTTTATTACAACTAGTTGTTTTTCTGATGATAGTGTGACTGATGTGATGCAAGTAAAGCCGGTGAATGCAGTGTTAGTTACTTGACAATCTGTGCCTGCAATAGTTATAGTTTGTTCTGATTGACCTAAATAACTCGAGAAGAATGTACCAATTGCATTTACCTTATTATTTTCAGCTGTAATAATTGATGTAAAAGTTGGTGGTTTACTTACTAAAGAAAAAGTATAGTCAATATTATTACCGATATTATATAATGTGATGAATTCTTTTTTTTGAAGACTCATGGGTTGATTACAATAATATTCATAACCAAATCTAATAACTGCCTGTGGAACAGTCTTACACATACTGTTAAAGTCACCTGGCCCAAATAGAAAATAATGGTTAAGTTGATGACCAATATCAATACCGCTAAGTATAATAGTTGTTTGATTATGGTATTTAACTTGTGGTTTATAAGTTGTACATGGAATATTCTTATCATAGTTTGAAAAACTATTACCTGCAAATCTATCAAACATAAAGTTTTGGGTACTTATAATATTTTCTGGTCGAGAAATATCACCAAAGCCAGTGTTACTCTTAAAATAACAAGTAAAACATGATGGAATAGAACTAAAAAATATAAATTATTAAATAAAAAGATTAATATTATTATTGTTGTTATTATAATATAATGTTATTACTATAATATATACAAACCCCGTTAATTTATTTTTAGCAACAGATAAAACAGTACCGCACCATGACTCAGGTATAGTACCCGTTAATTTGTTATTGTCATAAAAATATGCTGAACCTTGGCCATTATATTCTGGTAAATCTCCTGATAGGTAGCCATCTGTATAGCTTGCAGTTTTTAAATAGCCAACATCAGTAACTGGGGGTAGTTCGGCGGAGATTGGTAATGTATTAAATGGGGTCATTGAAAATGCAAGATTTGTGGTTGGGCTAACTTTAAATGGAATTTTATTTTGATAAAGGGTTACATTACCAACTAAGCTCATTTTGATAGATTGATAATTGACAAGATTTGACATATCGTAGAATTGAGTTGTTGATTCAAAGTCACCAAAATAATGATACATGGTTTTAATATAAGAGTTTAAGTGAAGATAAAAAGGAATTGTTGATTTAAATGAAAATTGAACATCTGTAGAATTTAAATATTGGAAATTTGTAAGGATATCAGATGGATTGAGAGAACTAAAAGAAAGTCTAACGCTATCAAATTGATAATCCCTAAAATCTGGTAAATTTCCTGCATTTACTATTAATGTCCTTAAATTTTTTTTATCTGCCCCGCTATCAACCTCGAGGGTTGGATATCTCATAGTACTATAGAATGTAAAAGACCTTATATCATTTAAATAAGACATCTTTATATTGGTTATAGGTCCATTAGTTTCAATATAGCTATTATATTTTTAAATAAAATATTAGTATTTTTGTTTTTTTTTTAAATAATAATAATCTACCCACAAAGAGTTTAGTTCTGGTAATTTTTGTGTAAATTGTTTTAAATTATTATAGATATAGAATACTTTTACAACTGTTGGGAATTTATAGTAAATAAGCTCCTCAGATGGTTCTATTTTTTCTAAATAAATCTGAGTTATATATGGGAAACACAAAAGATCATTAACCGATACTGTTTCGCCGTCTGTAGGATTTTCACCGTTACCTACTTTGCCTGAAAATATACTAATAGATCCATTGCTATGGCAATTGGAATATGGACAAAATGAGCTGTCTGGGTAAACCCCATTTGTACCTATAAATATAAATTAAAAAATTAATAAACTTTAAAATAATATTATAAAGATATTTCTAAAAATAATAGTTACTTGGATAATTAATTTTTAATCCAAATTTTTCGACAAAGCTCTTATAACAATCATATTCAGCTTGGGGTATTGCTGATTTTGAAAGTTTAAAAAAAAATAATAAAAAAATAAAACAATAAAATTTTTTAATCATTTTTCTATTTTTAATTAATAAAAAAAAGATTATACAATAATAATACAATTATAACAAAAAAAAAATACAATCTTTTTTTCAATTAAAATAAAAAAAAAAAAAATTAAAACGAAAGCTTGTCTCCCTATTTTTCAAAATAATTATTAATAAAAAAATATAAAAAATTTATATTTTGGATACCAGTCTATAACAAGTGTTTTTAAAAAAAAAAAATTTATTTTATATTTTTTTTTTTTTTTTTTTTTTTACGCATTTTTAAATAATTTTTTTTTAATTTCTATTTAAATAAAATAAATAAATAATTATTAATAATATTTATAATAATTAAATAGTAATAGTATTATAATGATAAAATGAAAAATAATAATAATGAATACATTCTAACAGTATTTTACTAAAATCTCAATCGATCAATTAGAGAATAAAAATTGAAATAAGTAAATGCCCACCGACGAGAAATCATTGGAGTATTCAAATTTGAATTTAATCGAAGGTCACATTGTAGCCCGCCCAAGTACTAAAAGAAGCAATTAAAAATTGTGATTAGATAAAGTTAAAACAATTTTTAGATATAAACTAGTACTGAAAAAAAATTTAAAGCACAAGTCAATAAAACAGGTCAGAGGATGATATTCAACTATTCAAAATTATCGAATTTTAGAAATTTACAATGAATTGTTTAGAATTAATATCACCACAGTCATGGGAATCTTTAGCTTGTAATATCAATATATTAAAAAAATATTTATAATATTTCAATTAACCTTGAATTATTTATACAGTATCGGAAAATACAGCTCCAATAAAACAAAATAGAGAAATTTTCAAAAGAATCATAGTAATATAATTTCAATAGAACCGCTGCTAATAAATTAATAATAGTAAAATAACAGCAATAAAGATAATAGTAATAATGTAGATAATAATACCACAATAGGTATCAATATTAATGGTAATAATATAGACGGTCAACTATTAAACTATTTAATTATTATTTTAAAAGTCATAAAGATTTATATTTATTTTTAAAATGGGTTAAATTAAACAAATAAAATCTGAACCTTTTTTTTTTTAAAAAAACTATTTTTTTTGGGTGTTTTTTAATTTTTTTAATTTATAATCTATAGCGCTATTTGTTCTATCTCTATAATTTTTTTAATTTTAAATAAACAAATAACTTTTATAATTATTAAAACCTCTTTTTTTTTTTGTTTATTTTTTTTTGTTTTTTGTTTTTTGTTTTTGTTTTTGTTTTTTTTAATTAAAAAGTCTATTTGTTTTATACCCCTAGATAATCTATTCTGAAATATCTTTTTCAAAATTTAATAAAAAATTAAATTTAAAGAGATGAAGAATATTATCATGTAATTTTCAAATAAAAAAACAAAAAAATACCCCATAAAAAAATAAAAATTATTTTTTTTTGAACAGGGAACATCAATATAAATGTCTCCATTAGAACAATACAGAATTGATTTTGATTATTATTTTACATACACTTTAATTTTTATCGACACTAAACATGAATGGTATATATAGTTAAATATTTAATACAATATATTGAAAAAAGATAATTAATATTAATTATATTATTCTAAAACAATATATACATTATCATAGAATTATAAAAATGAATATTAACAATGATTTTAAAATTATAAATACTAAAAATAATACAATATACAACTGTATAATTATTGGTGGAGGTTTATCAGGTTTAAATTGTGCTTATAAATTAAAGGAAAAAGGATTAGATTCTTTTCTTTTGTTAGAGGCGAGAAATGTAATAAAAAAAATATAAAATAATTATAATTTAGTAAACTAACTTTATTTATATAAATAGAGGTTTGGAGGAAGAACGGAAACAATTAAACTTGGGAAAAACAAGTGGATTGAATTGGGTGGCCAGTGGATAGGCAGCAACAGCCCGCTCTTAAGCAAACTTGTAAAAGAGCTGAATCTGAAAACTTATAAGCAATACTATGACGGTAAAACTGTAGTTGCCGTGGACTCTATTACCAGCAAAGAGGTGGATGAAGATTGTTTTAGCTTCGATGATTTTGGTATTGAAAATTTAAGTTATTTTATAAAAGAGTTTGATTTAACACTATCCAAAATAAACTTTAAAAATTTGAACAACTCTAAAGAATTAGTTGATAGTTTGGATGCTTTGTCTGTTCATGATTGGTTGATCAGTGAAAAAAATAAAAAAAATGCCACTGAAAAAGTGTTGATTTTTTTTGATTGGGTAACTAAAATGTCAATTGCTTCAAGTTCTAAAGATATAAGTGTTTTGTTTTTTATGAAGTATATAAAGTCGGTGGGGAGTTTGGAAGGTGTATTTATGTCGAATGATCAAACAACCGAATATGAAAGAGTTATTGGCGGATCACAATTAATATCTGAAAGAATGGCCCAATATATCGGTAAAAAACACTTTAGACTAAATAGCAAGGTAATTGAAATAAACCAAACTAACCCAAACAACCTGATTAAAATAACCACCGAAACTAACCGTAGATTTTACTGTCGAAAACTTATTGTAACTATACCCCCTGCTTTAACGAAACTTGTTTCGTTTTATCCAAAACTTCCTTTAAAGAAAAAATTATATATAAGTCAATTGGACCATGGAAACGCCATTAAAGTTGTTGTTGTGTATAAAACTGCATTTTGGAGGGAAAAGGGCTACAGTGGAAAAATAATCTCTTTTGAAGGCCCAATAAAAGACACATTTGATAATTGCACCCACGATAACCGGGTGAACTCTATTGTTGGGTTTATTGTTGGTAGCGACGATGTTAAATTTTGGAGTTCTAAAACAGTTGATGAAAGAAAGCATGCCATACTTTCTCAATATGCTAAATACTGGGGCGTAGAGGCATTGCATCCTATTTACTATAACGAAAAAAATTGGAACGAAGATTCATTCTCTGGTGGTTGTTTTACTGCTATCTGCGCACCCGATGCCAACTATTCATCAAATAGTAGTGACTATCCAAAACCATTTAAAAATATCCATTGGGCTGGTACTGAAACATCGAATGAATGGTATGGTCATATGGAAGGTGCATTATCATCAGCAAATAGGGTAATTGATGAAATTTTAAACTAAATTATAAATACGAAAATAAAATAAAAAATTAAAAAAAAAAAAAAAAAACACTTTAAATATCTAAAACCGTATGGTTGTATTTTATTGTGTCATTTTGGAACCATTTTATATATTTTTTTTTTATTTTTTTTTTATAAATATCTTTTTTTTTTTTTTTTTTTAATTTTTTTTTTTTTTTTTTTTTTTAATGTATATTATTAGATAGAATAAATAGATGTACAGCCTAAACATACAAGTAAAAAATGAAAGAGGTAAAACACCATGGTAAATATTAGATTATAAAAAATTAAAATCATTATTTATAAAAAATTAACAAAATTTTTTTTATTTTTAGGGAAAGAGTCGATTTAACATTAAATAATAACAGCTTTACAATTAAATATAAAACCAAAATACCAGATGTAACAATATATTTTAATGATGTAGATATAGAGGAAAATGATGTAAACTCGATATCACCAAAAACAATCAACGAAATTGAAATGGACTCTATGAATCCACAACCATCATTTACTATCACCTTAAAAACAATAAACAAAAGCATGTGGTGGATTATTGATACCCACACTCAAGATATATACAACCAATGGGTTGGAACAATAGGACAATACAAATCCAACCAACAGCCATATATTCCACCTCAACAATCAATGCCTGCTCAGACCTATTTGCCACCACCTGTATATCCACAAACACAAATACAAACACCTCAAGAGCCAATAATAACCAATGGTGGTGATATCGAAGAGAATAGTAAAAATAAAAATAAAAAAAATAAAAAGGACTCTTTTTATTTTTCACATGAATGCAAATTTAAAACATTTGGAGTTTCGTTTTTGGTGTACTCATTAATATGGTGTGGTTTATTTGTAATGCTTTGGTATGTTTTAATTTCGGATAATATAGAAAAAGATCCAGTTCCAACTATTTGTACTTTAGTTTCAAAAGATTCAAAAGTGTATGGTCCACCAAAAGACAATGGACTATATGACTACGAGGTGACCTATACATTCAGATATATTGCCAATGGCACCGAAATCACCAGCACATACTATCAAATCGAAGAGCCCTGTATTGGCGCATCAGCACTTAAGCCAGGATGCGTATTAAGACAAGTCCCATCTGATGGAACCATCAGTTGTTATTTCGATAAAAACCATCCAAGAAGGGTTTGGATTGATAATACTTATGAAAGCTATAGAGATTTAAAACAAATATTTATTATAATTTTTATTTTATTATTACCATTATTAGTTTTATTATATTATACGTAAGTGATCAATAATAATCTCATAAATATCAAAATATATTTACTAATTTGTTTTATTTTAATTTTTATTTTATTTAGATATAAACATTACAGATTAAAAAATGGAAAAAAACTCTAACCCAGATTCCTTTTATAAACCAAAAGTATCCATAAATAAATCATTCACACCCAAAATAATTTTTTAAAAAAAAAAATTAATTATTTTTAAATTTTTTTGTTTTTTTTTAATTTTTTTCAAATATTTTAAAATTTTTTTTTTTTTTTTTTTTTTTTAATTACCTCAACTGTTAACAATTAAATAGTTGAATAAACACCACACTACTTCAATTTATTTTTTCATTATAAATAACTTTTTTTTAAAAAAATAAAAGTTATCAATAAAATAAATAATAATAATAATGGATAATAAAAGAAAAAATGAAAATGGTATTGTTTTAGTAGATAATAATAATAATGGTAGTAGTGGTGGTAGAATAAAAAAACAAAAAGGAGAACTAGCAGTAATAACCAAAGGTGAAGGTAGAGAAATTATATTGGGTACTGAAAGAACATCAAAATTAGAGCATCCAATTATTCAATTAACAGGGCACAAAGGAGAAGTTTATACTTGTAAATTTAATTCATATGGTACTGCTTTAGCAAGCGGTGGTTTTGATAAAGAAATATGTATGTAAACAGAACTCATTCATTAATAGTTATAGTATAACAATAATAGCATTAATATTAACAATAATAAAATTAATTTATTAGTTTTATGGAATGTTTATGGTGAATGTATAAATTATTCTGTATTAAAAGGACATAAAGGAACAATTTTAGAATTACATTGGTCAACAGATTCAAACGAAATTTATTCAGCATGCACTGATAAATCTATTGGTGTATGGGATGCAAATAAAGGAGAATTAATAAAAAGAATTCGTGAACATACAGCAGTAGTAAATTCATGTTATCCAGCTAGACGTGGACCACCATTGGTAGCATCAGGATCAGATGATGGCACAGCAAGAGTATTCGATACACGTAGCAAAGGAAGCACTCATACACTCAAACATAAATACCCAATTACAAGCGTATGTTTTTCAGATGCATCTGATCAATTAATTAGTGGTGGTTTAGATAATATCATTCGTATTTGGGATTTACGTAACGACGAAGAACCATTAATAACAATGAATGGTCATCAAGATACCATTTCGGGTATGAGTGTTAGCAAAGATGGTGCCTATCTCTTATCAAACTCTATGGATAACACACTCAGACAATGGGATATTAGACCCTATGCCCCTCAAAATAGAAATATTAAAACATTTATAGGTGCCCAAAATAATTTTGAAAAAAATTTAATCAAATGTTCATTTTCACCAGATTCAAGAAGAGTGGCCACTGGCTCCTCCGATCGTCAAGTTTATATTTGGGATTCAAATACAACAAAGATACAATACTGTTTACCTGGTCACAATGGTACCGTTAATGAAGTAGCATTCCATCCAAACGAACCAATTATTGCTTCCGCCTCTTCTGATAAATCAATTTATTTGGGTGAAATTAAACTTTAAAATTTATTTATAATATCAAAAAATATCAAAAACAATATATTAATCAATAATAATCAATAATAATCAATAATTAATAATTAATAATAATAATATTTTATTTTTATTTTTTTCTTTTTATTTATTTTTTTTTATTTTTTATATTTTTTTATTTTTTTTTTTTATTACTTTTTATAATACTAAAAATAACAAAAGTAAAAACAATGGGGTTAGATATTTAAATAATTAAAAAAAAAAAAATTATATAAACGACATTATAATAAAAGTAATTAATTTCCAATTTAAGAATTTTAAAAAAGATATATTCTTTATATAAAGAATATATCTTTTATTTTTTTATTTTTTCATTTTATTTTTATTTTAATCACAATAGGGTTTATTTTAAATTTTAATTTGTTTAAGATAATTTGTGTGTATATGTGGCTTATTATACTCCAATATATTTATACTATAGAGAAAAACATTGGATAAAAAAATAATAAAAAATGAAAAAAATAATAAAAATAAAAAAATAAAATAAAAGATACTTGTAAAAATAATAATAATAATTTAATATATTATTTATTTATTTATCATAATTTTTTTTTATTTTTTCAATAATTATTGAAAAATTTTTATTTTTTTATTTTTTATTTTTTTTCAAATTTATTTTTTTTTTTTTAATTTTTTTATTTTTAAATTTTTTTATATATTGTTTTTTATTTTTTTTATAGCATATAGTAGATCATTTAAAATATTATAAATATTTATATATATACATTTCAATAAACATGGCAGAGTATGTTATTAATATTAGAATCAATAGCAACACAGGTTTTGTTTTTTTTTACTTTATTTATTTAATAAAATAGATAAATAGTATGGTGAAAAAAATAAAGAAATCGATTTCGATGACCAGTAAAAAAAAATTTCAAAAAAAAAATAAAAAAACCTTTTTTTCACATATAAAATAGTTTTTTTCTATTGAAATAGTAAAACTAACATATATTTATTACAATTTTAGTGAAGAAATCTTATTTAAAATTATTTTAGTTGGTGAAAGTGGTGTTGGAAAAGTAAATAGATATTAAAAAAATAATAATAATAGTATACAAAAAGATATTAATTTAATTTTATTATTTATTTAGTCAAGTATATTAGTTAGATTTACAGATAATACATTTACACCACATTTTGCACCAACTTTAGGTGTAGATTTTAATGTAAAAACAATTAGAAATAAAGAGACAGGTCAAACTGTTAAATTACAACTTTGGGATACAGCAGGTCAAGAAAGATTTAAATCAATTACACAAACTTTCTATAGAGGATCACATGGTGTTATTGTTGTACGTAAATCAAAATAATAAATAAATAATAAAAAAAAAACAAAGGCGATGGTTAATTAATTCTATTTTTATATTTTAGGTATATGACGTTACTGATCCAAAATCATTTGAAAGATGTAAAAATTGGGTCGAAGATATTAATCAAAACACACAAGATGGTATGATTATTATATTGGTCGGTAATAAATCCGATTTAGCATCCCAAAGAAAAGTAACTTTTGAACAAGGTCAACAAATGGCTGAACAATTAAAAACTAAATTTTTAGAAGTCTCTGCTAAAGAAAATAGCGGTATTACTCAAGTATTTGATATTTTAGTTCAAGATATTGAAGCAACGTAAGTAAAATATAATATAGATTTACTATTACTATTACAGGTATACTAATTATAATACAATATATTTGATGATTTAGCATGAGGAATAGCGAGGTTGCACAAAAACAAATGGATTTAAATCAAATGAATGGTCAAAAGAAATCTTGCTGTTAAATTATTTAAAATCAATTATTATAGTTTTTTTTTTTCCAAATCCTTTATTACCATATATATATATCCAAACCATCCAATTTTTTAAAACCCTTCATACATTCACACCGCCATTAAACTCAAAGAAAGAACATCTATCCTTCTTTTAATAATATTATATCAATAACAATACTCTATAAAATAATTTTTTATACTTTTTTTTTTTCTTTACAAAAAAAGTTACCATCCACAACCTTTTTAAAACATAAATAAAATGCCCAAATGGGTTTGTTAATTAAAAAAAAAAGAAAAAAAAAGAAAATTCTTATATTTAAATTGGCAAATAGTGATTGGTTATGTCCTTTCTAGATATTTTTTATAATTTAAAAAAATAAATTTATTTTTAAATTTTTATATTTTTATTTTTATTTTTATTATTACTTTTATTATAACTTTTATAATTTTATTAGAATAACAAAACAAAAAAAGAATCTTTCCCACTGGGAATTAATCACCATCATCAAATCTAATTACAAATTTAAAATATTTTTTTTTTTTTTTTTTTTTTTTTTTTTTTTTAGGTTTTCGAAAAAAATCAAAAAAATAATATCTTTTTTTCTTTTTTTTTTTTTTATTTTTTTAAAATTTTTTAAAATTTTTTATTTTTATTTTATTTATTTTTTACCCATTGCCTTTTTGCAAAAAAAAAAAAAAAAAAAAAAAAGAGATATACATATTCTTTTTTTTTTTGTTTGGTGTGGATTTGATTGTTTACTAATTTAGTATATATTAATAAATTTGCATATATACACCACATATACATATATAAAAAGATTTTATTTATTATAATACATACCAAACACATCAAACACACATCGAAATCTGTTTAAAAAAAAAAACATATTATTTTTTTATTTTTTAAATTAATTTTAAAATAATTATTATCATTATTATTATTATTTAAATTATTATAATAATTTATTTTTTTTTAATTTTTTGTATTATAAAAAGTTTGTATAGTAAAATTTATATTTATTAATCAAATAAAACCAATTAAACATGGATACCGACAAGTTATCAGTAAGTAAATAGTTTAGTTATAGTTATAGTTATTTATATAAATATTTATACTAATTTGTTTATTTCCCGATTATAGTTACAGTGGAAAAAGAGTGCTTGGTTAAATTCAACACAACTTTATGGAGAGTTAACAGATATTATTATTAAAGATACAATGTATGCAGATATAGATATATAGATATATAGATTAAACGATATTCAAATTAAAATTAATTTATAATTTTTTTTTATTATAGATTTACAAGATCATTTGCAAATATTATTGATAATTCAGAAGTTGATTCATTTTCAAAAAATATAGTTAATATTTTTACAGCAGCAAATAAAACATTACCATTAATCAAAGATTTAATTTATAACGAATTCAATACCAAGGTTTTAGCAGAAGGTGAAGGATCTATTCTTCGTGGTAATAGTATTGTAAATAAAATTGAAGGTGCCTATGTGCGTTTAATTGGTGCAAATTATTTAAGATTTGTATTAAGTGATTTAGTTACCAAAGTTGTATTAGATACCGATTTAAAATTAGAAATTGACCCAAGGTAAGCACAAATTATAAATTATCAAAATATAAATACCACCATAGATTTCTAATATTTTTTCTTTTTCTATTTTTCTTTTTACTTTTTTTTAGAAAACTTAATGATTATTTTGAAGATGGAGCAATAGAATATGAAAGAAAACATCAGGAATTAGAACTAAAAGAAAATCAAACAAGTTTACATCAAGTCGCTCAAATGTTTTTAGATAGAATTACAGATCCAGTCGTTGTAGAGGAGATGCCAAGAGAAATTAGAGCAATCGCAGATTACACTGCCGAAAGTGCTTTAAGATATGCTCCAGAATCATTAGCTCCATTAGTTGGTGGTTTCATTATGTTACGTTTCTTTTCTCCAGCTATTGTCACACCAGAATATTCAAAATTATTATCATCAGAAGTTGTACCATCAAAAAGAGCAAAGAGAAATCTTGTACTTTTAGCTAAAGTTTTACAAGTATGTTTACAGCTAATATAAATTTAAAAACTAAAACAACTTATTAATCATACCTTTTTTTATCTTAGAATGCATCCAATGGTGTTTTATTTGGTGGAAAAGAAGATTTTATGACATGTATGAATAGTTTCATTACTGATAATAAAGAAAAGATGTCAAGTTATTTTACATTAATTTGTAAAGATCCAATAAATACACCAACTAATAAATGGATAGATTTAGAAGGTAAACCAACAACAAATGTTTCTACAAGTACACCAACAACAGTACCACCAACAGCAGCAGCAGCTAATCCAAATTCAAATCCAAATGGTTGGAGTAAACCAGTATTAGGTGGATCTAAATGGTTAGCAACAACTCCATCAGGCACAGTTTCGACACCACCAATTGCAAACAATGGATCAACAGCACTTCAATCATCCTCATCATCAAATAAAGGCGGTTCAATGAAAAGCAGCGGAAGTAGTGGCAATTTGGCAGGTAGTGTCAGTAGCAGCGGTGGCGGTAGTTGGGATTCCTATATCAAAAACATTCAGATCAGTGATTTATTCGACCTTCATAGAATATTCGATTTATATAAAGAAAAGATAGTGAGCAAACTTTCAACACCGGGTAATGGTTGTATAAAAACAGCAAATAGAGTTACAGATATTTTAAAGGAGTTGGGTCCATCACCAAAAACCAAAAACGAAAGAAAAAAGAAAGAAACCGATGCTTCAGAAGAACCAAATACAGAAAACAATGGCTCAATCGGTACAGCTTTAGAAGATTGCACCCATATGTTAGAGAGGGCTCGTTTCCTTTTCCAGGGCCCAAATGACAAGAATGATAGATCTGTATTCTATTTAATTGTAAACCGTGTTAAACCCGAAGTTTTCGATAACGTTAATCCACTTATTGCTCATATATTCAAAGTTATGGATCCTCATACCAATAGTCCATACACATTAGTTGTCGATATGTCATGGGCTCATATTTCCAATGAATTAAAAAAGGCAATTTTTACTCATTTACCAAAGTTAGCTGAAATTTTTTCAAGAAAGTAAGATATCCTTAATTTATTAAATTTTAAAAAAAAATCAAATACTAATATTTTTTTTTAATAGGTATAAAAAAAATATAGATAAAATTTTTATTGTACATCCATCAGCTTATACTAGGGCTGTTGTTTATTTTATGAGTGCCTTTACAAGTAGAAAGTTAAAGAGAAAGATTCATGATATTTATAATTGGAAAGAACTAACTCAATATATCGAAGCAGAAAATATTGCATTACCAGAAACCAGTAAAGATTTTATTACAAAGAGTTACAGAGTCGTTAAAATCAATTCAAAAGGTAAAAAACAAGAAAGACTAATCAAGTTTACAAGCAATTCTCTTTTAAATATTGATCCAAAAACACATAGAATTCAAAATGAAAAAAGAATTGACGAAATTGACGAAATTAGCTCCAGAATCGGCTCTCTTCAAATCCATATGAGACTATCTGACTCTTCCTCATGTACATTTGGTAAAAATCAATCATTAACAAATAGAATCGGTTTCCTCTCATTAGGTGGCGGTGGTAGCAGCAACAACAGTGTCAATCATTCAAATAAAGATAAAGACAAATTGGGTGATAGCACCAGTCGTAAATATGTTTGCAACGATGAGTTGGAAAGAGATCATATTTTACAAGATATCTTTGAAACTGGTTTCAAAATGGGTCTTTCAAGTAGATCTGCAAAATCTTTACCAACCGAATATAAAGTTATCAAAGTAAACAATGTAGGCAAACATCAAGAACGTATTTTTAAACTGACAATTGACTCACTCTTAAATTTAGACCAACAAAGAATTAAATCTGAAAATAGTTTTGCTGGTATCGAAGAAGTCACTCTTGACAAAGATGAGGACGATGTCGTTTGGATCAAATTTAAATCCGAAAGTAATAAAAGGAAAATTATCTGTAATAAAGGTGAAGGTAAACAATTACACTATGTATTAACCGATGCTATCAATAAATATCAAACTACTATTGATATTCAAGAAGGTGCTTTGAAACTTGATGCCGAAGAAGGTTCATATTAATAAATAATAATAATAAAAAAATTAAAAAAAAAAAACCAATAATAATTAATATAATAATTTATAATAATTAACAATAACAACAATAATATTAAAATAAGTGATTAACTTAAAACTAATCATTTAGTGTAATTTTAGTTTTATAAAAAAAAAATAATAAAAAAAATATAAAACATTCTATTTATTAATAAAAATATTAAATTTGTCATCATATACTTTAATTATAATCATTGGTTGATTTATTTAATATATATTTATATATATATATAACTTATTTTACAATTTAAATATTAAAAATTATTTTATTTATTAGCTTTTAATATATAAATTTAGTTGGCAGCAACTTTAGTTATTTTAGTGGATTTTGGTACATTTTGGGTTGATTGGCTGTATTTTTCAGGTAAAGTTAAAGTTTTGACTGAGGTTGGGATAACTTTAGATTCGAGTGCTTGATCGAAATAATAACCAAATACTAAGGTTTCAACACTACTTGGGATAACACCAGCGGCTATTGGAGCATTGTAACTGTGGCCAAAAGTAAGTGAAACACATTTTTCAGGGATGGCACCAGCACTTAAAGTTTGTCTGAAATGATAACCAAAGGTGATTGAGGTAACACTTTGTGGGATAGAACCAACAGTAATTTCAGCGTTAAACCAATTACCAAATGATAAAGTTTTTACACTCTTTGGGATGAAGGAATTTGAGAATGAAACTTTATCAGACATATCATTACCAGTATAACCATTTGAATAAACACCGCACCATGTTAAAGCTGTAACAGAGGTTGGGATGATGTCTTCTTCGAGTTTTTGTTCTGGGTTGCTTGTACCCCATGAAAGAGAGGTGACAGTGTTTGGAATATCACCTTTATTAACTAAACCTTGGAAAGCATAACCAAGATCGAGAGTTTTAATGTGATCTGGAATACCAACAATTGATTGTGTGTAAGCTTGACCAATAATTAAAGTATAAACTTTTCTTGGGATATTGGCAATTGGTTCGTTAGTTTCGTGTTTATAAACGTTGGCTGCACTTGTGTTAATTGGGTCCATCTTATTGTGTATATTTTATATTTTAAAAATAAAAATTTTTTTTATAAAATTTTATAAAAAAAAAAAACAAAATTATTTTGGGTGTGAAAAAAAAAAATAATGATTTGGAAAACTTGAAAATTTCCAGCTATTTCGTCATCATTAATTTTTTTTTTTTGCACTTTGGGAATATATTTTTATTTTAAATAAAAAAAAAAATCAAAATTTTGTTATTTTTCCCTATTTCTGGGTTTGAGCTTCCCACTTTTAACTGAATCAAATTGATAATAATCAAAAAAAAAAATAACTACATATAAAATAGTTATAAAAATTCAAATTTTTATTCATAAAAAAATGCCAGGTCATTTTCTTTTAATCAGATTACTACTTTTTCTCATAAACATTTTAAAATAAATAAAATCCTATTTTAAAAAGTAAACTATGCATTAATTATTTATCATTTTACAGTAATTTTTAAAAACAAAAACTAAAAAAAAAAAAAAAAACATTAAAATTAAATAACCTGAAAGTAAATTACTAAAAAGAAATAGAATTAAATAAATAAATAAAATGAGTTAATTGTAGAGATTAAAAATTATCTTTAGCTTGAATGATTTCCAAAGAGAACGGTTATAGATGGTTCAACAAAAAAGACTCAGACTGGATGACGGTGGGCATTAATCTTTGGTGCATTGGTGTTAATATTGACAATTGGCCCTTTATTTCCTAATAGGGTTTTGGTAAGTTTTTTAGTACTGATTAAAGTTGGGTAACCAAACCTTAGATCTGAACAGCGGCAAAGAAAACAAATGATAACTTCCAAGAGATTGTAAAGATAAACCTAAACTACCAACTAATTTACAAATTGCTGTTTCTATAGATAATAAAATACCAGTTAAAGCGGCTTTGCATAGATGAGAATATTCATTAGGGTGGCGGCATTATTTGTTTGGAAAAAACCCATATCTTGTGCAATAATGGCTCTAAAAACTAAATTTTGATGTCTCCTAACCATAAAAAAAAAATAAAAAATATTGCCACAATATTTTCTCCGTTTTTCAATTTTATTTTGTTTGTATTTTTTTTACAATTAGATATAATTGATTATTATTAATTAATTTTTAGATTATCCTCCACATGCTTTATATATTTTTTTATAATATAAAGATTTAATTATTTTTTTATATGTGTTAAATTTATTTTTAATTTTAAATATTGCACTTTATCAAATAACTGCCATAATATTTAAAAAAATGTTTTTTTGTATTAATTAATTACCCATTCGATTTGAATGTTGCAACAATTAACTAGAGATAGAGAATAATAATAATAAAAAGTAATAATGAACCTATTTTAAAAATTAGGAAAAAATAAATATTATTCAACCAAATATCAATTCAACCGACAATAGAAATCAAAGTAAATATAACCATATCTTTTTTTTTTTTTTGTGGCAATGAATAATTTTTGCAATAAAAAAGATTCAGAAAAAAAAAAATAAATAAAACAATATTTTTTAAATAAAAATGATCCGATCAGATCGTCATCTGATTTTCAAACATTTTTTAAACAGATTTTTTTTTTTTTATTTAATTTTTATTTTATTTTATTATATATTTTTATTTATCTATATAAATACATATATTTGCCAATATAATTATTACTTAGATATATATATCTATTTTATTTATTATTTATTATTTTTGTTTTGATTCTGTTATTTTTTATATTTTATTTTAAAATTATTTATATATCTTTTTTATTTTTTTTTTTTTATTTTTTTTTAAATTAAAAAAAAAAAATTTTATTTTTTTTAATTTTTTTTTTTAATTTTTTTATTTTTTTAATTTTTTTTTTAATTTTTTTTTTTAATTTTTTTTTTTTTTAATCACAATTGCACATTATAATATTTACTATCTTTTTTTTTTTTTTAATCAATCACTAATCATTCATATTATTGTCGCTTAGAAACTTCAGATAGTAATATACCTAATAGTCAAAATAGTTTTAAAAGTATTGTAACTCTAAATCTAAACACTTTCTTTTTTTCACCATTTAATGAAATAACCCACACAACACATTTTTCTCACATCATTTTTGTGTGTTATATGTATTATGTGTACAATCAATCAGTTGGAAGAAAAAGAGAATATTTGTTCCAAATCTATCAAAATTTTTTAATTACATTTGTTTTTTGTGTGTTTTTTTTTTTTAATGTGTTTTGGGTGTTATATCTATGCCTGTGTGTTTAGATATTAAAAGAAATTTAATTCACATTACATTTAATTTCCATATTAAATAAAGAAAAAAAAAAATACAAATTTGTTTTTATTTTATTTTATTATTTTTTTTTTGTATATTATAATTGTATTTTTTTTTTCTTTTCAAATAATTTTAAAATTCTTTTTTCTTTTTTTTTTTTATACCACTAAACATATAAATAAATTTTTATTTTATTTCGCAAATAATTTTATTATAAAATATATTGTACTAATTTTATTTTTTATAAAAAAAAGAAATAATATTTTTTTCAAGTTTCAAATTGTAATATATAAAATCGTAATAATAGTAGCAATAGCAAAACAGTATTAAACAATTAGTAATATACATATAATAGAAATAAAAATGAGTTATGCAACAGATTTATTAGATGGATTTGAAATATTATACAAAAGAACAGAAGGAGTTCTTAAATGTAACCTAGAAATGTCCAATTTCTTTAAAAAGCTATCATTATTAGAGGCAGAATATAGCAAGGCTTTATTAAAATTGGTAAAATCAACTGGTCAAAAGAAATTAATTTCAAATCCATTCCTTGATGGGTAATTATCATTCATATTTTTAAAAAATCAAAAGATGAACCACATCAAATATCACAAGTTTATTAATACTCTTTTTCTTTTTTATTAATACTTCAGTTCATTAAAAGAGTCATGGAAAGTTTCATTAACAGAATTAGAGCAAATTGGAAATCAACATTTTGTTTTTTCAAATTTAAATAATGATCTTTCAACAAATATTGAAAAAATGGTTAAAGAAAAGGAAAACACTAGAAAAAAAGTAATTATTATTATTAATCAAAACACATACAATGGTAAAGGGATAGTTTACTAATATCATTTTTTTTTATATTAAATTAAAAGTTAACAAATGATGGTCAAAAATTAACAAAGGATATGAAAGCTCAATTAGAAGTTTGTACAAAAGCAAAATTAAATTATCATAAATTATCAAAAGATGCCGAAGTTGCACATACATTATTAACTAAAGGACAAGCAGACCCAAAGATGAAACAAGATAAAGTTTCACAATTATCAACCAAAGCATCCCAAGCATCTGAAAAAGCACAACAAGCTGATATGGAATATAAAGAGATTTTAAATACCACCAATATTAAACAAGATGAATATTATAACACTGATATGCCAACACTCTTAAAGGAATTCCAAGCATTTTGAAGAAGATCGTATTGTACAATCAAAAGATAATTTAGAGAAATTAGCAATCTATGTTAAAGAAATCCCACCAGTTGTTCAACATGCTTTCGAAGGTATTGAAAGAGCTGCACAACAAGTCGATAAAGATTCAGATATTAGACAATGGGTTTCAGAAAATCGTACTGGTGTTTCTGTTCCAGCACATATTGAATATCACTCTTATGAAGGTGAGGTTAGTAGCACATCATCTCCAAACAACTTCCGTGTTGGCACCTATAAACCACCAGTCACCCAAATTAAAGAATGGGGTCTTACATCCAAAGATCAATCATTATCACCACCAGAAAAAATTGCTAAACTTGAACAACAATATCAAGAAATTTCACAATCAATTCGTAATGAAGTTCAAGCTCGTTCTGGTATCGAAAAATTAATTCAATTCTATGCCAATGATCCAAAAGAACAAAAGAAGGCTGAAGGTGAATTGGCTGAAGCCGATAAAAAAATTCATTCTCTTAAGGAATCTCAAAAACTTATCACCGTACAACTTGAGGAATTAGGTAAATCAAATCCACAAGTTTCTTCAGATTTTGCAAATAGTAGTCATTCAGTTTCAACTATTGGTAATAGTGGTGCTGCTATCAATGGTGCTTCAGGTGGTAACACTGGTGGTGGTCAAAAGGTTGTTCGTGTTAAAGGTCTCTATGACTATGAAGCCTCTTGCGACACTGAATTATCTTTCCGTGAAGGTGAAATTTTAACCGTAACTGAACAAGATTCCAGTGGTTGGTGGTACAGTATTTCTGCTGATGGCAAGAATGGTTTTATTCCTGCCAATTATTGCCAAGTACTCGACTCTACCGATCAATAAATGGTTTATAGTAAAGTATAAACTTTCAAGCAATATCAAAGCGATCAACATTAAAAGTTTATAAAAAAAAAAAAAAAAAAAATTTGTAAAAATAATCATCATAAAGTGTCATAAATATCATTATTAATACTCATCATTATATAATGTACATATTATTAATGATCAAAATAAATAAAATATAAAAATTTTATTAACAAAATGCTATATTTAGTAATATTCCAAAAAATAGATATTTTTTTCTTTTAAATCAACGGCCATTATTATAAAATTAAAACATCAGTTATTTAATTTTTATATTTATAATAATGAAATTTTTGCATTACAAAAAAAAAAAAAAAAAATTTATACCCAAAATAGGATTATTATAATTAATTATTTTTATTTTTTTTTTAAATTTTTTTAAAAAAAAATAAAAAATAATTTTTTTTTTTGTTTTTGAACAACACATTAATAAACACACACACCCAAAATTATAACAATAAAATTATAATATATCAAGGAATTTCTTTAATTTATATGGAATCATAGCTTTTTTTTTTAAAAAAAAAAAAATAAAAGAGAATGTTTTTTTTAAGAATTTGTTTATTATTTTTTTTTAATTTTTTAGTTTTATCAGCTATAAGTAAGTAAATAAATAAAAATAAATAAAATAATTAAAATAAAATAATGAAATATTTTTATAGTAATAAAAAATAATTATTATTTAATTGTTATTTTTTTATAAAATTTTAAGATTTTTTTATTTATAAAAAAATCATAATTATTTTATATATTAATAATATTTAAATATTATTATGGTTTAATATGTTTTTTATATTAATATTTTTAATTTATAGCATTAATTGGTAATATGGTAAATGGAGAAGAATTAATAGAAAGTCAAACTTTGGTGGACGAAGAAGTCGAACTTAAAGGGAAATTTAATTTAAAAACAGAGTTATTAGCAGGTACTTTAGCAGGTGTATCATCATGTATATTATTTTATCCTTTGGAGTGCATAGAGGCCAAACTACAGGTTCAAAGCAGTATTCCCACAGGTACACAAGCAGCAGCGAATATAATAAAAGATAAGAAAAGACCCATGAATATGGGTGTGTCTATAGGTGCACAAAATTCTATAGGACCAGTTACATTAGCAAAGAATATATTAAGAACAGAGGGAATCAAAGGATTTTATCAAGGGGTATCACCAACAATATTAGGTAATGCAGTTAATTGGGGTGTTTATTTTTCAATTTATCGTGCAACTAATCATTGGTGGAATATGCCCGATATAAATGGCAATGTTTATGAAGGCCCAGCATGGGTTGGTCATTCAGTTTCAGCTATTGCAGCAGGATTTATCACCACAGCAATTGTTAATCCATTCTGGGTATTAAAAATTCGTTTAGCTACAACAAAAAAATATAGCGGTATTGGGCATGCATTTCATTCAATTCTTCGTAGTGAAGGTGTAGGTGGATTTTGGAAAGGTGTTGGTATATCATTTATTGGTGTCTCTGAAGGTTTATTTCAATTTGTTTCATACGAATATATATTGGATCAAATAAGAGCCTCAAATCAAAATCACCAACTTTCAGTTGGAAACTATTTGTTTGCTGGTGGTGCTGCAAGATTTATTGCAGGTTGTATAACATATCCCTATTTACTCATTAGATCATCACTTCAATCAGAACCATGCCAATATAAATCAATGTCAGAAGCTATTCGAGGTATTTATAAATCTGAAGGTATCAAAGGATTTTATAAAGGCATAGGCCCAAATTTAGCAAGATCTGTTCCACCTGCCGCTTTTATGCTCTATATAGTCGAATTTTTTAGAAATTTATTAACCTCATCATAAATAAAATTTCATATTCCAAAAAAAAAAAAATCAAAATCAATTTTTTTTTGATTATTTTATTTTATTTATTTTATTTTTTTTTTAATAATTTTTTTTTTAATAAAACTAATTTTTATATTAATATAAATTTTTTTTTTTTTTAATTTACACACAAACAATTTTAAATGTAAGCATTATTTTATATTATTATATATTTATAAATTTTATAAATATTTATAAATATTTATTTTATTTCCACACTACACACAAAAAAATCAAAAGAAAAAAATGTACACTTCCCCACACTCCCTTTCTAATTTTATAAAATAATAGTAAATTTCCATTTTGATATTTTAATTTATTTTGTTGGATTTAATATTTATCAAAATAAAATAGATACTATTTATTTAATATTGTGTGTATCTTTTCATCTTCTTTTTTATTTTAAAAAAGTTAAAATTATTTTAATTGTTTAATCAATATAAAAAACCTAATCATTATCCACCACTATTAGTTTTTTTTTATTGTGTGTGTTTTTTGTCAACACCATCAACACTTTTTTAAAAAAAATCTAAGAGAATTATAATTTTTTAATTTATTTTTTTATTTTTTTTAAATTTTTTTTTTTTAATTTAAAATATATTAATTTTTTTTTTTTTTTCTTTTTCAATTTCAAATGAAATAAAATATATTATAGAAATTTTAAAGTTATAAAATAAAATCATAAAAACTTTTTTTTTTTATTTTTTATTTGTTTTTTTATTTTTTATTTCTCCATATATACTTTTTTAGAATTAATAAATAAAAAATCATCAATTATATAATTTAGTTTTTTTTTTGTTTTTTTTTTTTTTTTTTTTGTAAAAGTTTACATTATATATATTATTATAAAATGTTAAAAAATTTTATTTTTAAGTCCAAAGTATTCAATGTTGCTAATACTACCACCCCATTTATCTCATCCAATGGCGTTTGGATTGGTTCAAGATTCTATTCAATCGAGCAATTAAAAAAGAAAACAAATAATCAAAAAATCATCAAATGGGTTGAAGAACAAGCTAAGCTCTGTAAACCTGATAACATTTATGTTTGTGATGGTTCCGAACAAGAGTTTACAAAGTAAGATTCTAATATATAAATTGAATAAATTTTTATTTAAAATCAAAATATTAATTTTTTTTTTTTTGTTTTTTTTTTTAGATTTTGTAATAAAATGGTAGATAATGGTACATTAACAAAATTAAATTCTAAAAGACCAAATAGCTTTTTAGCAAGATCAGATCCAAATGATGTTGCAAGAGTTGAAAGTAGAACTTATATTTGTACTAAAAATAAAGAAGACGCAGGACCAAACAATAATTGGATGGACCCACAACAAATGAAGAATACATTGAAACCATTGTTTGATGGATCAATGAAAGGAAGAACCATGTACGTCATGCCATTTTCAATGGGTCCATTAGGTTCAGATATTAGCCACGTTGGTGTTCAAGTTACTGACTCTCCATTTGTCGTTTGTAATATGAAAATTATGACACGTATGGGTGATCAAGTTTTAAATCAAATGAAGGAAAATGACGATTTTGTACCATGTCTCCATACTGTCGGTGCACCATTAGAAAAAGGTCAAAAGGATAGTCATTGGCCATGTAACACAACTAAATATATTGTCCATTTCCCAGAAGAAAGAGCCATTCAATCATTTGGTAGCGGTTATGGTGGTAACGCTTTGTTAGGTAAAAAATGTTTCAGTCTTCGTATTGCTTCAGCTATGGCCAAAGAAGATGGTTGGTTAGCTGAACACATGCTTATTTTAGGTTTAACAAACGATAAAGGTGAAAAGAAATATATTGCTGCCGCCTTCCCATCAGCTTGTGGTAAAACTAATTTAGCTATGATGTTACCAACCATTCCAGGTTGGAAAGTAGAGACCCTCGGTGATGATATCAATTGGATGGTAAGAAAGAAAGACGGTCGTCTCTATGCCATCAATCCAGAGAATGGTTTCTTTGGTGTTGCTCCAGGTACATCAGCATCATCCAACCCAAATGCCTTAAAAGCCATCGATAGAAATACACTTTTCACCAATGTTGCTTTAACCCCAGATAATGATGTATGGTGGGAAGGTTTATCACCAGCTCCACAAAAGGCTATTGATTGGAAGGGTCAAGAATGGACACCATCCAAAGGAACTCCAGCCGCTCATCCAAACTCACGTTTCACTGCACCATTAAATCAATGCCCATCCATTGATCCAGCTTGGGATGATCCAAAAGGTGTACCAATCTCTGCTATTATTTTTGGTGGTAGACGTTCATCTACTATTCCATTAGTTTATGAATCATTCAATTGGAAACATGGTACCTTTATGGGTGCCTCAACCGCTTCAGAACAAACTGCTGCTGCCGAAGGTACTGTTGGTGCATTAAGACACGATCCAATGGCTATGCTTCCATTTTGCGGATATAATATGGGCGATTACTTTAAACATTGGTTATCAATAGATAATGATCCAGCAACCTCAAATAAACTTCCAAAGATTTTCTACGTTAATTGGTTCAGAAAAGATAAAAATAAGAAATTCTTATGGCCAGGTTTTGGTGAAAATTCAAGAGTACTTCGTTGGGTCTTTGACCGTTGTAATGCTAAAGGTGAAGAAAAAGCTGAAGCCACCGCCATTGGCTACATCCCATCCAAAGAAGCTCAAAAAGAATTGGCTGATGGTTTAGATATCTCTAAAGATGCCATGAGAGAACTCTTCACTCTCAACAAGGATGAATGGTTAAGTGATCTTCAAAGTATGAGAAAATATACTCAACAATTCGGTAATAGATTACCAAATGAAATTACAAATCAAATGAACAAATTAGAAGATAGAATCAATAAAGATTTATAAAAAAACAATTACAGTATCAATAATAATAATAACAATAAAAACAATAACATATGTTTAGTAAAATTAAAAAAAAATAAACAATTATTATATAATATCTAAAACAAAAATAGAATTCAAAATGATTTTAAAATGTTGGTTTAAAACTTTTTTTTTTCTTTAATAAATATAAAATTTTTGGGACTATATATTTTATTCTTTTTTATTTATTTGAATAAATTGTTTTTAAATCTATCATTGGCTTTATTATTATGTTTCAGTTTATTTATTTAATAGGCTGATGATGGGGGTATAACAATTTTCTTTTTAGTAGTACTGGTTTCGTGTTGTTTACCAGCTAACATAAGGCCATATACTGGATGAGAGTTACCACTGAATTTTGGTACAGCTTTTGCTCTGTTATCGAGTTCGTTTGGTGGTGGCTTACCAATTGCTGATTTGTGTGCGCTACCTGGTGCATGACCTTTTGGTAAAACTTCTTCTTTTAAAAATTTCTCAACAGTTTGTTGACTCTTTTGTTTTGAAATTGAACTAGTGTCATTATCAAATTTAACATTACCTGCGCTATTATTTAAACGTGTTGGTGCTGGTGATGTTGTTGGTGATGTTTTTTTTGGTCCTTCAAAATTCTCTTGTAATCTCTAAATAAAACAATAATTAGTTAAATGTTTATAATATTTAAAAAAAAAAAAAAAAAAGAATAAAAACAAAATATAAAAGATCTATCTTTTCGATTATATATACACTTACTCTTACTGATGGTGGTGATGATTCTTCCATTTTAAAATATTGAATTTTATTAATACAGAGATGTGTTAAAATGAGAGTTTAATAATAAATAATATAATACAATATATAATATAATTTCTAAGGTATATTATATAAATAGTTTAAATAATAATAATAATAATGATGATGATTTCTTTTGTACAGTTAAATATTTTATTTTATTTTATAAATGATAAATGATTATTAATTTATATAATTATTATTTTCTTCAATCTACCAATTCTTTTATATCTATTCTATTTCTTTTTTTATATTATTATACAACAACTTTAATTACAACAAACAAACAACAAAAATTAAAATGATTTGTGGTGTGTTGTGTAAAAATTAAAAAATTAAATATATTTTATAATATTTTTATTTTTAAATTTTGTGTGGTATTTAATGATTTGTGGTGGTGTATATAACCGAATAAAAAAATTTAAAAACTTAAAAAAAAAAGAAAGTTTTATAGTTATTATTATTATTATTATTTATAGTTTATTATTATTAGTTTAATAACAAAAAACTTGAATGTGTGAAGAAAAAAAAAAAATAAAAAAGATAACCAAAAAAAAAAAAAAAATTTTATTATAATAACTTTTTATAAAATTAAATTTTTTTAAAAAATAAAAATTTTTTTTTTTATTTTTTTTTATAATAAATAAGAGCCATCAGGGTTAATTCGCTTTGGATTATTTATTTTTTTTTTATTTTTTTTTTTATTTTTTTTTGATTACATATTTTTGGATTTAAAATCACTTAAAAAAAAATATGGTTTAAGAAATGAATATAAATTAAATTTTAACAAAAACCATTATATATAATACATTTATATTTATATTCAATTGAAAATATCATGACCATAATTAATAATTATTGGAAATAGCAACACATAGAAAAAAGTCAACGCATATGTTTCCTTTGATCGCCATGTATATATTACACGCAAAATAAAATAAAATAAAATAAAAAAAAAATAAAAATAAAAAAAATTTAAAAAAAAAAAAAATTTAAATATTTTTAAAAAAATTAATTAATTCTTTTTTCTTTTTTTTTATTTTTTCACACAAACAACTATTTTTGTTAATAATAATAATAAATAAAAATAAATAAAAAAGTATTTTTATATATTTTTAAAAAAAGCATAAACTATAGCCTCCGAAATATTAAAATTAATATAAATTATAATTTTAATAATAAAACGAAAATAGAGTTTTACATATAAAGCAATATTAATAGAATAATAGAATAATAGAATAATATATAATATTTTAATGAAACTTAAAAAAAGATATTTTTAGGAAAAAGACATACAGAGATAATTTTTTTTTTTTTTTAAAAAAAAAAGAAAATCAAATGATAACGACACTATTATTGTCTTGGGGTGGGACTATATCCTCAAAGATATTAAGTAATAATCAAAACAGTGACCAAACTCCAGCATTTACAAAAAGTAGTAGCAATGCATTACTAAAGTTAGATGAAAACAACAAAAATCCAATAATAGCAGTAGCAACAGCAACAACTAAAAAAGTAGCGGAAGCAGTAGTTTCGACAATGACCACTGACACCAAAAATATAGAGCAAACGATTAGTACAGCTGATTCGAGTTCAGATACGGTTCATCCATTACTACACGATGTTTACAAGTTTATGAGAGAGGGTATAGTTTCGTCAATTTTCTTTTTATTTTTGATGGCATTCTCTCACTTTATAATAAGGCGTTATATAAGGAAAAAGGATGGTATGTATTTTTAAAGACAACTCTAAAAAATAAAAAACAATGCATTATATTCAGTTCTAATATACATTATATTTTTAGATGAAAAAAAAATTTTAATACCCAGATTATTATGTACAATTTGTTTATCTATTTCAATAGCAGCAATGCTTTTAATACCAATTACAATTATAAGTAATGAAATTATGACCACATTTCCGTCAAGCTACTACACACAATGGCTAGATAGAGAGTTAATATTTTGTAAGTATCATGATAAAAAAAGCAGGATAGATATCGTACAAATATTAATGTTTTCTTTTTTTTTTTAGCTTTTTGGAATAAAATTTTTTGGGGCGCAAATATATCATTATTTATAATATTACCATTCACATATTTTTTATATGAGTCTGAAGGAATAAGGGGTAGGCCTCTAGGTAAAAGAATTAAAGAGGCATTGTTGGTATTGCTATTAGTGGCTGTAATTTTTGTTGGCTTTGTTTTTATAGTATTCAGTTTATTTTATGAAGAAAAAGAAGATAGTGGTCTATTTGAACATTTTAAAAGAATTAGTACAGATTATTTACCTTTTTCATATTCATTAATATCAACATTCGGTACTGTTGTTGTAATGCGTAAGTAAAATATTTTTATTTTAATGTTTTTAATTTTTATACTAATTTTATTATTTTTGATAGTATCAATACCAAGTGGATTTAATTATTTAATTACAAAATGTATAAATTTAAGAATTGTAAGACCAGTCGAGGACGAAATTAAAGCAGCTAAAATGGAAATTGAAAGTATTAACTTCACTTTAGAAAGAGCAGCAGCAGCAGGTTTTATAAATTTAAATAAAAAGAAAAGTAAAACTAGAAAGAGATTAGAGGAACTTAGAGAATCAAAAAATTATGAAAAGAAAGAAAACATTAAAAATAAAACCAATAACAATATAAATATAAATAGTAATACTAATAGTAACAACAGTAATAGTAGTAGTGATTCATCATCATTAAATAAAAGCGATAAAATAATGATTGGTGATAATCAGCAAAATGTAAATAATAATATCGATATAGCTCCAAATTTATCACCACCATTAAATTCACAAAATTTATCACACAGTTTAAATATAGCGAAAGATTTAAATAGTATAGATATAAATAATAATACAAATATAAAAGTTAATAATATTAATTCCAGTAATATAATTAAAAGTCAAGGTAACAGCATACAAAATACCTCCTCTGTAAATAGTAATATAAACAATAATAACAATAGCAATAACAATAATAACTCAGATAGCTTAGATAATAATGATAGTATTATAGATAATTTAGATAATGATATACCAAATAAACATAATTACGAAAGGAAAAAAGATTTAAATTTTAAAATATCACAGGAAGAAATTCAAAAATTAGAAGATACAAGAGACGAATTATATTTATATATAGAGAAATTATTAAAGCCAAGTTATTTCTCATCTACCATTCCAAGATTTTTAGCATCAGTATTTCTTACATTAATCAACTTTACTATAACTGGTTGGGTTATCTTTAAGGTTTTCATTCACATGGTAAAGAGATCGTTTGAATTATTTCAATTAGATTCAATTAAATCATATTTCGATACATGGATGTCATCGGCTATAGATCTTTCAAAAGGTTCATCAAAACTAGGTCCATTCGAATCACTATTAGAAACTACAATTATTATGTAAATATAGTTTTTATTTTTATTTTTAATATAATTTTTTAAAAATAATGCTAATGTTACGAATCATTTTATTATATTTATAGCTATTTAATGATATCAGCATTTGTTGGATTTTTAAATGAACCTTATTTTTCAAATATTAAACCAAGAATTCATTCAACATCACTAAGAAAGATGATCATCAATACGGGTATTATATTGTTAATGAGTTCAAGTTTTCCAGTTGTAGTTAGAACATTAGAAATCAGCAGATTTGATTTAATGGGATACTATTCACATACAAATTATCTTAGAAACGACTTTTTCAAAGTATTATATAGGTGCTCCTTCTTATTCATCGTTGCAAGAAGTTATTTAAAGAGTTTTGAAAATTCAAGATTGGTCTACTCTTTTAATGCAAATTTACTACTACCATTATTGACTAGATTCATACCATCATTCATATTGAATAGACTATTGAGTCAAAGTACAATACAAAAAATTAAGCAACAACAACAAATAGAAAAGCAAATTTTGAAACAACAACAAATTTCAGCACAAACCAATGTCGTTAAAAGTATTCATTCAGTTGCCAATGATTCAACACCCTCATCAACATTGTTTTCTATCATTTCTAAAAACCAAAACTTTTTACCAATACCTTCAAGTTCAACTTTTGGTTCTCCCACAAAAACAACATCAAATAATAATAATACCTCGCCAATCAACAATATTTTAGCAACAATATCACCCAATATTTCATCCACCTCATCCGTTTCATCAACAGCATATACAACTCCAACTTCCCCATTATTATTATCCTCTTCCTCATCGTCCTCGCCATCAAATTTATCTGCACCCTCATCACCACTCTTGGGTAGATCTAGCAAATCATTAAATAATAATAATAACAATAATAATATTAGTAATAATACTATTAATAATGATAAAACAAAGAATCAATTAAAATTATCTAAAAAGAATTCAATCTTTTCATTTTTTGGTGAATAACAAGGTTTAAAATAAAAATAAATAAATAAAAAAAATGTATATGTTGATATATTATAATATATAAAAAGTTGTAGTTTAGATTTTTATTTTTATTATTTTTTTGGTAAAATAAAATCTTTTGCAATATAATAGATTTCTGTTGATTCTTTACGAGAGGCATCAGGTTTCATTGTTTTAACTGAAGCGAAATCCTTTTCTAATAATTTGAAAAATTCTTTTTCTTCACCACCCCTTGAAACCTTGCATACAAAGGAACCACCTGGTTTTAATACTTGAAGTGCAAAGTTTAAGGCAGTGGTTTGTAATTCAATTAAACGACTATGATCGACTTGAGGAATACCACAATAGTGAGGAGCCATATCACTTAAAATTGAATCTATTAATCTTGTATTTCCACCATTGTTATTTTCGCTTATTGGCTCCTCATCTTGATAAACACTATTATAACCATTATTATTATCTATATTATTATCTATATTGTTTTTAATTCTGTATTCTAATAAACTTTTTTCTAAATCTTGTTGTCTTTTAGTTTCCAAGGCTTTGAGTAAATTTTTAAAAGTTCCATAACCTGCAAATTCTAAAATTTTATCTTGAGTTTCCTTTTTAGTGAAATCACCTTGTATAAATGGTGCTTTTTCAGTCAATTGGAAATTACTGTTGATATCTACTGAAATGACTAAACCATTATCCTTGACTTCTGCTCTTGCAATTTGGGTCCAACTGCCTGGTGAGGCACCTAAATCTACAACGATCATACCTGGCTTTAATAATCTGAGTTGTTTATTTATATTTATTAATTTGAAAGCTGCTCTTGAGACAAGACTAAGGGCTTTGGCTTCTTTTACATATATATCAGTTAAATGTCTTTTCATCCAATTGTTGTTAATAAAAACACTTGCTGCATATTTTGATAAAACTCCACCACCTCTGCCATTATTTACATTTTCAAGTTTATTAATTTCTGAATTATATTTTTTATTTACACTATTACTATTATTTTCTATTGTTTCATTTTCTTGGTATTTTTCCTCTACAAACTCTTCTTCTGATTCTTGTTTTTTATTTTTTGATCTTGATCTAACTCTTTTTTTTGATTTTAATGATGGTTGTGATTGTGGCTGTGGGCTTTGGTTAAAATTTTCTTCGTAACCAATTAATACTGGCTTTTTAGATCTCTTTGTCGAATAGTTTAAACCATTTATTGTATTATTACTGATGCTATTATAATATATCCTGGTTTTTAAAACATTATTGAATTTTATTAAACCATTCATTTTTTTAATGAAATTATTTAGAAAAAAAAATATAAAAAATAAAAAAAAAAAAAAATTACTTTCGTTTTTATGAAAAATATTAAAAAAAATAATTAAAAAATAATTTTTAAAAAAAAAATTCAAAAAATATCAAATTAATTTTTTTTTTACAACCACACAACAAAAAAACATTCCTTTAGTTTATTTATCCTTTTTTGTTCTTGGTGCTCATTTACTTAATAATAATTAGTTATAGGGATCTCAAACTTTCACTAATCGATGTGTTCTATAATATTAAAGGATCCTAACCCAAATTTTGTTTCAAAATCGAAAATAACCTCCAAATGAACCTATTTTATTACCATTTGCTCCAGTAAGAGTTAGAATCAAAAGATAATGAGTTTTTTATCAAGTCTTATCTCCATTCAAAAACAATTACAACAACAACCATCATCATTTTCATCAGCCTCATCACTATCAAATTTAACTCAAAAAAATGTTTTGAGATTGAAAAAAAATGAAGGCTAGAAATAACACATGATAATAATAGAAGTTTTAAAACAGTTTAACCTTTGGTTTCTATGTGATTGATAATGATTGTTATTTAATGTAAAAACTCACCAATTTATATTTTATATTTTATTTATCCAATAAAATACAATTTCAATTTAATAATAAAGAAATAA